ACCTGACAGCCCGTCAGTCTCGTGCAGCTCGCTGAACCTGTAATAAGTGACCCGACAGTAAAGAATAAATATATTTCTTATAACTAGTTTAGCTAGTTCCAGAGTAGATAAACTAGCTAAGTGTGTTCTAACTCTTAGTGTATTTTGCTCCACTCAACGGTCCGTCACAGCGGCGGAGCTGTGATCATGCAGAGCTGCGTTTTCTCCGTCAGCAGCAGCTGATCTGATCTCTGATCTCTGTCTCACGTCGTCCGGTTATACTTCACTCGCGTTTATGTCTAAATCTATCAGATCTAGCTAGTTCTAGCTAATTATATGACTGCCTGCTTATCAAAGGACCTAAACAATAAGCGTTGCTTGGCAACGGCTTGTGGCTGCAAAGTATAACGCAGCATTATGCATATGTTTATATGAGGGGTCAAAATCCCATGCTCATAAAATGCTCATATTTTTTTCTCTTCATTCCCCACGCCCAAAAATAAATAAATATACTAATTTTAGGAAAATTAACAAAGTTTGAGCAGTGTGGGTTTTATATTAACAGAGTTACACATATTTCAAAACGCGAAGTGTAATAACTGCAGTTTGCCTCCCTGTCAGAATGACAAAGATCCTCAGTGAAGCACAAGCCCATGTTTCTCACTACATTGTAAGTACAACTTATTAAAAAGATCAGTTCAATGCAACTAATGTCGTCTCAGTGTTATTGCATGATATTAAAATTGGTTTGCCATGAATTTAGTGATGGATTGTAAACATTTGAAAGATAGCATTTAAGTGTTTATCAGTTACAATGTTGTTGTTTTAATAAATCAGACACTGATGGTGCAGCACTGTACTGTACCTCTTTATATAGGCTTTTCCTCCCTAACAAATCGTGTTTGCGCTGATCAGGGGGTACTTGGCTGACATTGTTTTCCTAAGGGGGTACATTATTGAAAAAAGTTTGAGAACCACTGCTTTAGCTCACCTGAGTCCCTCAGTCTGAGAGGATCGAGAGCTCTCCTCCAGCTTGTTGTGGAACCAACAGCTCCTTGTGTCCGTTAGTGCAGCTAGCTAACCAGATGCTAACAACACGGTCCCTGCTGCTGGCACCGGCCCCTCTCTCTCTCTCCCTCTCTCACACACACACACACTAAATGCGCTATTTCCGCACACACACACACCACACACACACACACACACAACACACACCACACACACACACACACACACACACACACACACCACACACACAGAGCCGAGCTTGAATGACACAAGCACACTTTTATTTCCATGCAACTCTCTGATTGGTCTGGTGTCTTGCCTCTGTTGCATTCACTGAACACGGGTGAATGCAACAATTACAGCCCTGTCGTCCTCTCTAGTGTCATGATGAGGTTCACGTAAAGCACGGTTAATGTATATTATTGAGGTAGAATTGTCCGGGGCTACAGAAAAAACATTCGGGGCCGGCCAAAATATTATTTTACCAACAATGTGGAATTTATTGGCTACATATTACACAGCGGGAGCAGCAATAACCGTCAAATAATAATTCAGACAGGGGAGCTCCGCACCCCCTGCCTGCCGTTAGGGGGTGCTGCAGCGCCCTCAGCACCCCCCTTCCCGCGCCCATGCATGCCACTGCCAGCATTGGCACGCGGCACCGTAACCAGTGGCACACTAGGAATAAGTGGAATAAGTGTGCAAAATATTTAAATTGTATTTTCGGATCCTGAACGAGACCGCCGCCAGAGCGCGTCTCCCCGTTACCTGCAGAAGGAAGCCATGCACGCAGCACAGCCCCGCTATCTCCAGGAGATTTTCTGCCGCTTTCCTCCGTGGTGCAGTGCTGATCGTTTCACCACAGAAGAAAGCACTTCACTAATTGCAGTACCCATAAGGAGCTGTACAAATGCCGCAGTTTTTGCGTGGCTATGTCTTTAGTTGAAAGCCCAGTGGCGATCTGCTCATCTCTCATCGAAATAATATGCTACAAAGGGGCGGACTGGCCATCTGTGTGTTGAACTTTCCTGTCGGCTCCCAGACCGTAGTCGAGGAGGGCAGAAGCAACAAGCTTCAGGTTCAATAACCCACTTTAGCTTAAATGACTGGAGAGAGGGCGAGCTCTTCTTGGGAGGCCGTTGCATTTATTTAGCTGTTCTTCTGTTTCACAAAATACATCACACAGACCTCTGTTTTTCTGCTTCCTCGTTTCACTTCCAGAAACACACACATGTTCCATCACTGTCGCTCTAAACCATCCACAAACATGCACAAGCCACCTCTCTCTCTCTCTCTCTCTCAGTCTCTCTATCTCTCTCTCCTCTCTCCTCTCCTCTCTCCTCTCCTCTCTCCTCTCTCTCTCTCTCTCTCCTCGTCTTTCTCTTTCTCTTCTCTCTCTCTCTTCTCTCTCGGACAGCGATCTCATCTCACTCTGCGTGACCCTAATATCATAACATGTGTGCTCTGGAGAATCACAGAACGGACGATCGTCTTATTATTATTATGCCGTTTAAACCAATTATTAAATGTGTTTGTTAAATTTGGCATCATGTAAGTTGCGCTGACAGGTCCACACACTGCTTCCCCGCAGCAAGGCTCCCCCGCCCTCCAGCTGATAGTTGACGAGCGTCAAGCTCCTCAACCACAGTTTCAGTGCACTAGCAGCGGAGATGGGCAGAAAAATGACTGGTGCTGGGGGAGGGAGGTTGGTTGTGTGTGTGTGTGTGTGTGTGTGTGTGTGTGTGTGTGTGTGTGTGTGTGTGTGTGTGTGTGTGTGTGTGGTGTGTGTGTGTGTGTGTGTGTGTGTGTGTGTGTGTGTGTGTGTGTGTGTGTGTGTGTGTGTGTGTGTGTGTGTGTGTGTGTGGTGTGTGTGTGTGTGTGTGTGTCCAGGACCCATTTGGGGCAGGGGAGAAAGGTTGGAGGCAGGGTGGAGAGTTCAGGGGAGAGATGTCAGAGGGGGGAGGGAGGTAGGGAGGGAGGGGGAGGAGAGTTCAGCATCCTGACTGCCTGGTGGAGGAAGCTGTTCCCCAGCCTGACGGTGCTGAGCTGAGGCTGCGGAACCTCTTCCTGAAGACAGGCGGCTGAAGAGGCTGTTGGAGGGGTGGGTGGAGTCACCCACAATGCTACTGCACAGTGCTTTGTGGGTGAGGCGGGTGGTTGTATATGTCCTGTAGTGGAGGGGGAGCGAGGCACCGATGATCCTCTGGGCAGAGTTCACTATGCGCTGCTAGGCTCTTTGCGGTCGGCGGCGGTGCTGCTTCCGAACCACAGCGTGATACAGCTGCTGAGGATGCTCTCGGTGGCGCCTCGGTAAAAGGACAAGCATGATGGGGGTGATGCTACGGCTCGCTTGAGCTTCCGTGATGAAGTACAGGCGCTGCTGAGCTGTCCTCGCTAATATGCGGTGGTGTTATTTTCCAGGTGAGGTCATCAGTGATGGTCACCCCAAGGAATTTGGTGCTGGTCACCTGCGTCACAGCAGCGGCGTTGATGTGTCAGGGGGAGAGGGGGGCCGACGGTGGGGTTCTCCTGAAGTCAACAACTATCTCCTTGTTTTCTCCAGGTTTGAGGAAGAGGGTGTTGTTTTTTGGCACCACAGGGCCAGCTGGTTCACTTCCTTCCTGTAGTTAGTCTCATCGTTGTTTGCTGATGAGACCCACCACAGTAGTGTCGTCTGCAAACTTCACGATGTGGTTGGTGCTGAAGATGGGTTTGCAGTCGTGGGTCAGCAGAGTGAAGAGAAGTGGGCTGAGCACACATCCTTGGGGGGCCCCCGTACTCAGTATGAGGGTGGTTGAGGTGTTATTGTTGACCCGTACAGCTTGTGGTCTCTCTGTGGGGAAGTCCAGCAACCAGTTACAGAGAGAGGGGCTGAGGCCCAGGTCTGTAAGTTGTTGTACAAGCTGCTGGGGGATGATGGTGTTGAATGCTGAGCTGAAGTCTATGAATAGCATTCTGACATATAGGTCCTTAGTCTTAGTCTTAGTGTCCAGGTGTGTGAGGGCTGGGTGGAGAGTGGAGGAGATTGCATCCTCTGTGGACCGTTTAGCTGAAACGGGTCCAGCGATGGGGGGAGGGTGGATTTGACCAGCCTTTCGAAGCACTTCATGATGGTGGAAGTTAGTGCGACGGGGCGGTAGTCGTTGAAGCCGGATGGAGATGACTTATTTGGCACTGGATTGATGGTGGTTTCCCTTGAAGCACAAGGGAACAACAGCCTGGCTCAGGGAGATGTTAAAAATGTCTGTGAGGACATCTGTGAGCTCTTCCGCGCAGTCCTTCAGCAGACGACCAGGAATGTTGTCAGGTCCTACAGCCTTGCGGGGGTTAATCCTCAACAGTGTGCTCCTCACACTGGCTGGTAAAGACACAAAGCCTGGTCGTCGGTGGGGGGGGGGGGGGGGGGGGGGGTTTCTGCGCAGGTGTGTTGTTCTGTTTCTTCAAAGCGTGCTAGAAGCCGTTGAGGTTGTTGAGCAGGGAGGTATTACTGTCACAGGTCACAGAAGCTCAGCTTCTCATGGTCCCACAACTTCTGAAACTGTGGTCCACTCGAAAAAAGAAGCTACATTTTCAATTTCCGTTTTGCCTGTTTTGTCCTGCGTTTTGGTCCAATTTGATGTAAAAAAAAACAGTTAGTTTGAAGCTAATTTTCTGTTTCAACCTGACAACCTCCTGATGAAAACCAATCTGGAAGTGTTTTCAGCCATGTAAATCGTCAACCTTTTTACATTAACATTTTTACATTTCAGTGTTATTATTGAGTTTTAGAACCGCTAATAGGCAGATGTTAAAAGACAGAGCTTTACTCTATAATAGCTAAGCAGCTGCTGTATGCAGCTTCATGTTAACCATATAGAAGAGTTGTATCAACCATCTCATTAATGCTAATAAGCAGAAATACAAACAAAAGAAAACAATTAATTGTTTAATCAAGATACTTACCAAATAGTTTGTTACTCTTACTTCCTCCATCAATAACCAGCTTTTTCTTTCATTCTTTTGCTTCTTTACAGATGTCATTACAGCAACCTCGCCTTCTCACTGTTGGCTCATGTGATGGCCGAGCGAGTGGCTGCCGTGGACTACCAGCGCTGGATCACAGACAACATCCTGGATCGGCTGGGAATGGAGGACACTGGCTTCGACATCACCCCAGGGCTCCAGAGCCAGGTGGCCGTGGGAGTGTACTCCAACGGGAAGCCGGCGCCGCTCTACGACCTGGGCTGGTACCGGCCCTCAGGTCAGATGTTTTCCACTGCTGCAGACATGGCCAAGCTCGCTATGATGCTGCTGGGCGCATATCACCGCAAGATGCTAGAGCCAGACTCATTGAAGATCATGCTGACCCCCCTCTTCAGGTGCGAAAAGGACTACTTTGCCAACCGTACTGGGACGCCATGGGAGGTGAATGAGTTCATGGGCTACGAGATGGTTCGTAAAGATGGTGATCTTGACGGGTACTCTGCCACCTTCTCCCTGGTGTCAAAACTGAAGCTCGGTCTGGTGGTGTTAATGGCTGGTAGCCGGTCTGAGAAGCAGGACCTGGTCACTAAGGCCTACTCCTACATCATACCAGCTATAGAAAGAGCCTTTAGGGATGCTACAAAGGTCCTTAATCCTCCGCCAAAACCAGAACCTTACATCGGCTTTTTCACCTACAGCAACATCCCTTCTATGAGATCAAAGTCGGGCCGGACGGCGTTCTGATCATGCAACAGTTTGGGCCTCAAATTGAAGAGCTGATCCCAGAGAAGTACAGGACAAAAAGCTGAACTACCTGGTGGACCGGGTGTTCAGAGTTGTTTTTGAAAAAGAGTACCCTTGTGTTTTGCAAGTAGGCACAGCCTCAGTGTCCCTGGAAGCCCAAGATGGCCAGCTTTTTAACTTCTACATATTTGACAAGCGTGGTTTGTCCCCTGGCTTCGATGCACCAGGACTTAACACGTACAATGTGGTAAGAATAGCCCGCAGACCGACTTTCTCGAGCTGAACTGCAGTGATGCTTCGACCTAAAGACAACTGGTATGTCCTTGGGACATGTCAGGTGTTGTAAAAAAAAATGTGAATACTAAAAGACTAAATGGAAAAGTTGGTATCAATTGGGTGGACAAAGATAGGATTGTGCTCTTGATAAACAAAGAGCACAGAGAGTGACAGCATAATGATTGATGTCTTGCAAGGGAAATATATGCTTTCTCTGAGAAATGATGTACTGTATATGACTGTCCTTCATTATGGATCCCAACTGAACATTCACTTTATTGATATATGCATTTGTTTTTCCTGCCTTCTTTCAAACCACTGTAACATTGTCTTGGTCTTTTCTGTCCTTGAATTTGAATGAAAGAGAAAAGCAGAGCTCTCAACAAACTCCTGTTCTGGTCATGTATTGAATATCATAGACATCCTTTTCAATTATTGAACTATGATTGCTATTTCTAAAAACCCTAACACCAAGCACATACATATTCACACTCTGTTGATAAGGGGAACAAATATTTCATTTATTTGTTACTATGAACTCTGCTTGTGGCAGCTAGATCGTATTCATGAAAATGCATCACGTTATTTAAATGCAGATGTTGCCACAGGTAGAGAGCTGCCTATTAAATTATTGAATTTAATGAATTATTCATGAAATGATTTTGGTTCCCCAATGAGAGGTGACTAGGGACAATAATAGAGGCTTTTGGTGCATGTGTGACTTCTTGCTGTTTAACCCTTAGAAATGGACTCTAATTTGTCGGAAGTCCCAACCTCTAACTCCAGTATGAATACACTGCTCTTCTGCAGGTGTATCCAAGTGTGCAAAAATAACAATCATAAAGCAAAGGCTGATGTTTAACCTTTTATATTAGATTGTGTGTCGGATGGAAATGGAATATGAAAATGTTGCTTAGGCTTGGAGCACCAGGTGCAACGAGCGAAATTAGGGGAATGCTGAGAAATTAACCTACTATTTCCATTTCATCCGGCTGTGGATGGAAATATTGAAACAGCAATTCAGCTATGTAATGCAATGTTGTCACGGGCCACAGATGAATTATGATGCATTGTAAGAGTTAAAATTAAGTCATGGGTCATGCAGTATTGTAAGTCATACTGAAACAAAACTGCCCCAACATGCAAAGGATACTTTGAGGTGAACTGCTGCTATTGTTAAGGCTTGTTATTTTGGATGTAATGAGGCTTTTAAGCTTTCAGAAAAGCAACCTTCACAATGCAACCATGATGACGAATAAAATGCTGCATTCATGTTTCAGTATTGTCAATCTAACAACATATAATTGATAACAAATAGGTAAAAAACATTTTTGCTTTCAACATTTATTTTTCTTAAGTTAGCCATTGCACAATAGCCATAATCAGTTCTTATACTTTGCAATCACTGAACAAGAGCTGGAAAATCAATTCATGAACACAATGCAAAAGACAAAACAAGATCAGGAAAAGCTTGCAGTAAAGTATTTCATTCTTTGCTAACAAGTTTCACTGGAACACAGATAAGTATATTAACTCTTTGTGAAGCCCAGCAACACGTTAATTTACAAAAAACAATACAACATTGTTTCGTTCGGAGAGGATTTGACTGTCCCACTTTCAAATTCCATTCTAAGGCATACATGAGTTAAAGAATAAGACAGCAGGTGAAATATGCAATACAATATTATCCATTGTCACAAACCAACAAAATCAAAGTACAAGCTCTTGAACGGCGTAAGTAGTTTAAATTAGCAGTTTTACATTTGGGAAGAATACTCTCTCACTTGCCAAGATCAATACCATCTGAAGTTAGCTTGGTTTAGATTAGCATAAAGACGAAACACTGCTAGCCTGGCTCTGTCCAAAAGTAAAAAGAAAGAAATAACTTTCAGCGCCCTTCAAATCTGAATTATTAACGTATTATAGTCTTTGTTTAAGAGCACATCTAAAATGTAAATCATCTTGTTTGGTACCCTTACACCACAACTTTAACACGGGAAAACTTTAAGAAAGGCAACTTTAGCTTCAGTAAGGTGACTTTTAGGACTGAAACTAAGTAGCCTACGCTAGTTTTGCTAGCTAGTCTTGTAAAGTTGAATGCTAGCTACAGTATTGAGTTAAAGGAGTGATATGTGTGACAAATATTGTACATATCTTTTGTTATATTTAGCATGTAACAAAATATATATGAATAACTACCACAATCGCTCATGATAACCATTTTATAATTTTGTAAAGATTAAACAAATGAGGTGCAGAAGGTGTCAATCTGTGAGCTTAATACCAATAGTGGGTGGCTTTTGGTATCTAAGGACAGAGCCAGGCTAGTTGCTTTTCAGTTTTTAAT